CGTTCCCCCCCCCCCCCCTCGGCGCCCTTTCAGTGAGACCCTCAGCAGCCTCATGCACCTGCTCATCTACGGCGGCGAGCGCCCGGTCTATGACTGGTCCCTCGACCCGTCTGGCCAGCAGATTGTCTTCCGTTCGGAGACTCGCCCGGTCTCGGTGAAGCTGTACCAGGCCCACAACAAGAAGGACCGGTCCTTCATCCTGAACTGCTACCTCAAGTGCAAGTGGGTGCCCACCGATCTGACGCCGGTCGATCCGGAGCAGAAGGTCTGGGTGGCCAATGTCGAGCTTCCGGAGACCGGGTACCGTGGGTTCTTCGTGCAGGCCGAGTATGATGTGACTGATGCCACGAGCCTGGTCCCGCGGCACCAGGAGGTCACCGGCGCTGGCCCGGCCGGCATTGTTGCCGGCACCACCCTCCCCGGCAGCGACGAGCGCATCTTCACCGTCACCACTGGCGTGTCCATCGTTCCGCTGGAGATGCCCCACCCCCCGTGCGGCGTCGAGTGTGACGACTGCGCGGCCTGCTCGCCCAATGGCGAGTTCGCGGATTGGGAGTTCTTCACCGACCCGGCCCCGGTCTTCTAGGTGCCCTTTCTCTTTCTCCCCCTCTCTCTCTCTCTCCCTCTCTCTCGCTCCCCCTCCTCTCATCATCCGCTGTCTCCAGCGCCATTAGGAGCAGGGCCCAACTGCACGTGTGAGTTCGGGCGCGCAAGAGTCGCCGGGCGTGCGTCAGTGTGCATGCATGGCAGCCGCCTTTTCTCCTCCCTCGTTTAATATACCCTCCTGCTTCCTCTTGCTTGTGTTTTTTTTCGCTCCTCGCCAAGCTGCCCTCCCTTGTCCATGCCATGTGTTTCAAGGCTGTGAAGGGCGAGAGGCAAGTGATGTCCCAGAAGCCTCCCCCTCTGCATGCAGTGATCTTCTGACCCTCAAGATAAGGCACTTTTTTTTTTGATGAAAGGTGATACTCTTCAATGCACAAGGGAGAATGGCCGGGATGCGAGTTTATCCGGAGGGCAGGCAAACGCCAGTCTGTCAGGCAGCGAGCACGCCTGCAGATATTTGAGGGGATACATCGGCTATGATGGGGTCTTCCGTGGAGCGGCCGTGGTGGCAAAGGTCTGTGCGTCGGAGCTACGAGCGGTTTCCGACGTCGACTGGTCGGCCTCGTCACTCGGGCCCAGGGAGCCGGAGTTGTGCTCATCACCAAGTGCCTCCAGCTCACCGGAGTCGGTCTGGAAATCCAAGATGTTGCCATCTGAGGGTGGCTCCTCGATGTTCAAGTTCTCATGCAGGTCCAGACGCAGGCGAAGAAGCTTGGACACGGCATTTTGCCGGTACTGCATGAAGGAGGCACGCGGACGATAATACTTGAGATAGCCATCCCAGGGGACCGGAACCAAGCCGGCACAGCGGGCAATGAGCTTCTTCACGCGATCCGCGAACATGGTCACCGACTCCTCCGGATGGCGGGTCTGCGGCTCGAGGTAGTAGACATCAACCTGTGCGCGGGAGGGAAGGTGAGCCGGGGGTGCCAGTGGGGAAAAGGATAGAAAGAAGACCACACGAGAATTCAAGCGACGAGAGAGGGAGAGAGAGAAAGAGAGACAGAGAACGCACAACAAGAGCCCAGCTGGTCATCAGCTTGAAAAGATACCCAAGGAAGGACTCCTTCTTGGAATTCCAGAAAGCATCCGCGAAGTCCTTACTGCAAACGTCAAGCACAGGAAAAAAGGGGGGCAGGGCCGAAAGAACAGGACTGTGAGACAATTGGATCGCGCGGGAAGGGGAAAAAGAAAAAGGGCAGAGGCAAAGGGGAGAAAAAAAAAAGAACACCAAAGGACGAGGGAGGGCGCACTTGTACTTGATGGCAATCGGGCAGACATCGGCGTCAAGCTCGAATGCCTGTCGGGGATGGGGTGGAGAAGGGAGTCAGCACCAGAAGGGGGAGTGTGGGCGGTTTGGCCACATAGAGGGTGGTATTGACGTACACCGCGCTTGAACATGACAATGTGCTTGTTGTTGACACATGTGCTGAGCAGGCGGAAGTGGGGGTGGGGATGGGGGCGAAGGGGGGGTTAATTTTGAGAAGGGAAAAGAAGACCCAGAAAGGGCATGGCCAACGGCAACCAAAGAGGGGGGGGGGGCACGGGCATAAGGTGCACATACCCTTCGGGGAAAATCAGCAGCGGCGACCGGTTGATGTCGTGAGTGTGCTCACGAATCCTACAGAGGAGAAGTGGCCCGCCCCACGCGGCCAGAGAGGGTAAACGTGTTAGAGGCAAGGAAGCAATAGGCTGCACAGGCTCAAGGCGGTGTTTCAGAACGCACTTCTCCGACACCATCTTGCGGTCCTTGGCCTCCATGCGGTTGAACCAGAGGCAATCCGTGCCGGCCAGCACGGAATCCTGCAGCCAGCCCACAAAGCCGACGTGGCGCTGCCCAAGCATCGAGTAGATTTGGTCCACATTGAGCACGACCACATCGATGAGAGAGGTGTGATTGGCCACGTATACCTGATTGGGCCGGCGAGTTGGAGGCGTGCCATGATACTTGATCACAGCAGAGAGGGCCATGGAGAAGATGTAGGAAAGCGTCTGAAGACTGCGGCGCTATTGTGTCGCCCCGGGAGGGCCAAGTAGACATGCACATGCGCATGCCCATCCGTGTGTGAGAGCATGTCGAGCGAGCCGAAGGCCGGGGCGGGGGAGATGAAGGGAGGAGGGAGAATGGGAGAGACATCGTGGAGGGCCATGCGCCGGCACGTACCTGCCACTGAATCCGGCGGCGAGGGGAGTTCTGGAAGATCAGCCCGGTGATGCCTCGCAGCAGGAAGAACAGCACAAACGCCGATATCAGAGTAAGGACACTGCAACGTGGCAGAGGGAGGGGAGTGGGAGGGAGGGAGGAGATGTAATGTTAGATGTGTATGGGTGCGTGTTGCGGGGTGAGAAAAGTTGAGCGGGGGAGCAGGGAGGAGCAGAAAGAAGCAGGAAGAGGCAAGAAGAGACAATGAAGGAAGAAGAGGCAGGAGGAGACAATGAAGGAAGAAGAGGCAGGAGGAGACACTGAAGGAAGAGAAGGGACGGCGTACCGCAGTGGGAAGAGCACCACATAGCGCAGAACCACTCCGAGGCAGTACATGATGAAGAGATAAATGTTCCAGTTCCACCGCCGGGCCTTCTGCGGCACGAAGCACCGGGTGAAGGAATCATTGATGAGACTGGAGCAGCCTTCCCGCATGAGGGTCGAGAAGTCCAAGAAATGCAGGCCACTACGAGACTCGGTCTGGATGGTGCGCAAAATGTCGTCCAGGAACATTTGATCGAACTTCAGCTGGACATTGTCCTCGTCCACATCGCCGATGGCCCAGCTGGTGCTCTCGGTGGCCATGCGCCGGGAGAGGGACCGATGCGGGCCGCCTCCCGGCGTCGACTCGCCAAAGAGCTTGGTCACCTTGGCCAGGTTCAGCTGCGACAGCGGGGTCTTGGTGTGGGGATTGGGATTGCCGGAGTTGTGGGTGCCGCCAGTCGTGGCGCCGGTGTCGGGGTTCATGGGGCCGCGCATGCCGGCGGGCGAAGGGGCCAGCGAGCGCGTCGGCGCCGCGACATCGGCCGCCGGCGGGGCACGCGCATCCGGCTCCATGGCAAGGGCCCGGGACGTGCCTTGGGCATTCAGAGGCCCAGCTGGACCGACACCAGTCCCCAAGGACAGGCCTGACGCCGAGGGAATCGGGCTGGCCAGCCCCGACAGGGCCGAACTATGGGACATTGACCGATGGGCGTTCTGCAATGGGGCCAGGGGGGCCAGGTGCGAATTGGCCGTCTGGTGGAAGGTATGCTGGTGCGCCTGCTGGAACTGAACGGTCTGGTGGGCATGCGGGAAATGATGCTGCGGCTGCTGTGCCGCCAGGGAGGCCAGATTGACGAATGAGTGCGAGTTGGACGGCAGCCGGGCGATGGACTCGCGCGAGGTGCTCACACTGCCGGCGCCCGAGGAGGCGGTGCCACGGCCATCGGCCGAGCGCTTGGGTGAGCCCGAAGGTCCTCCAGCTGGGCGGGTCGGCCGGGAGCTTCCCCCGGTGGCCGAGGCCCCGCCACGGGACCCGGTGGTGGCCGGCGCGGCGGCGGCGGCCGAGGCACTGTCGGCATCAGCATGAGACCCGACAGCGGGACTGGTGTCGTTGCTGCCCTCCAGGGAGGAGGGGCTGGCGTCGTCCGGAGTGCCTTCAATGTCCCCAGTGGCCAGGGCCTTGAGCGAGTCGTCGGACTCCTCGCCGGCATTGCCGGTCTCATCATCGTCATCCATGGCGTTGATGGACCAAATGGTCACTTGCCCGGCGGACCGGGGGCTGCCAACCGCATCCGGCCGCGGGGACAAAGCCTCCTTCAGGAGAGACGTCGGCGAAAGGGCCGAAATGACGCCGGAGTTGGAGGACACCGGCAGGGGCGTCGTCTCGACCGTCAGCGAGGGAGGGCCGGCGGCGGGGGCGTCAGCGACAGCCAGTGAGGGGTCGCCATCCGAAGAGGGAGCCGACGAGGGGGGCTGGCTGGGGGTGGCATTGGGGGCCTCGTCGTCGGCATGCGTGCCGTCGGACGGGCTGGAAAGGGGATCATGCTCCTGGCCGGTCATGATGGCGGCAAGAGGAGGGCTGGCCGGGGAGGGGGGCGCGTCGGAATCGTCGCTGTGGTTGACCTCTTCGAAGGAGCTGTCCCCGTCGATAGAAGTCATCAGTCGCGTGGGAGGGGGCGAGGAGGGAGGGTAATGTGGGAGGTGTGTGTTTGCGTGGAGGAGAAAGGGGGAAAGGTTGGGGCGGGGGGGGGGGAAGAGGAAGAGGGAGAAAGAGGGAGAGAGAGAGAGAGAGAGAGAAGTCGTGCGGTGGGGGGCGGAGGGGTGCTGATGCCTCTTTCGCAGCGAGACAAAGACCTGGAGGGGCCTTTTCGGGGAAAGTGCCCTCACACCGGGCTCCCTGTGATTCTCCCGGGCCCTGCCGACTGTGTTCCCCTTGCCGCGCCTTTCTCTCGGGCGCGGCCGCCTGGGCACTGGCACCCGGGCCCACGCCGGTTTTCGCCGATCGGGTGAGCGCCGGCCCCCAGAGTGGTTTGGGCGTGGTTTCGGGCACAATCGTCTGCGTTCCTCCCCTGGCTTGGTCCCTCCTCGCCCCACCCTCGATGCTTGAGGCGATCTCTCGCGGGCGTTCAGCTTCGCGACCTGGCGAGATGCTTCGAGCTTGGCCCCTCCCCGGGGGGCCGGGGTGGAGGGGGGCGGGGGCAACCGGGGCAGCCTCCCGCAAGTGGGTGGGCCAGTGTTGCAGGAATGACGCCGAAGCCGACGGGATGCTGGCGCCGGCGCGGGATGTGTGTGTGTGTGTGTGTGTGTGTGTGTGTGGCTGGGGTGGGGAGGGGGCGCGGCTGAGCCCCGGTCAGGGGCGATCACCTTGTCTGGACCAATCTGCCCCCGGCCCTGCGGGTCTCGGAGCTCCTGCCCGGTCAGAGCGCCCCGCGCAGGAACCGCGGAAAAGCCCGGGGCGGGGCTCTCCCTTTGGCCTGCTTTCTCCGGGCTTTCGTGCGGGCGTCTGCCGGCCTACCTGAACCAATGGCACATCGGCATCACCATTGGCAGCCGGCCCGAGAGGCGTCTGGAATGCTGTCCCTCCGCGGGGTCGGCCGCCCGCTCGGCACAGAGCACTGGAGCCTCTCGGCCCGCTGGTCGCACCCACCTGCGGCGGTCGGGGGGCATGAACGGCGGAGCCGTGGATTGCCGCCCCCCCCCCCCCCTGCCCATCTTACCAAGCATGCCTCCGGGGTGCGCGGAACACCCTGGCCCCGTCGAATAATCTCACCGGGCGTTGTCCGGTTCCCGAGTAGGTGGGGTCTGCGGGGGGGGGGGGGGGGGGGCGAGACTAACTTGCCTCAGTCCGGGCACCGCCCATTCACCGGGAAGGCTGTCTAGCCGCCTGCCTATCCCCCGCCCCCCAGGCCCAGGCCCTCGGCGGCCCCCCCCACCCTCGCCTCCGGGCCCTTCGCGCCCCCCGCACGGAGACTGCTAAGTCCCACCGGATCCGGGGCCGGCTGGCCGGCCGAGAGACACAAACAGAAAGGCTGATGCGCGCGCGCGGCCCACCGTCGGTTGTGTTTGCCTCATTCTGCGCAGGCACATACACTGCCCATATGTGTTGCGCGTGTGCGCCCGACCCCAAGCGCACCCGGGTGTTCATGGCCCCCCTTCCCGGCCCCACAGCCGTTGAGGCCCCCCTCCCCCCCCCCTCAAGGTGCGCAGGGGGCGACACTGCCCACACCTGAGTCGGTACGTGATGCGCCCACTTCGGGAACCCTAGACCACATGATCAGATCAGCGGGCATCATGGCGTCCGTCCGCCAGCCCCCACCTGCCTGGGGAACTGGCAGCGGTGGTCGTCTCTCTCC